TGTTAACAGTGTATAAGAGTTCCTCTTTCGCTACCATTTCAGCAGGATTTACCACTTTCTGTCTTTTGGATAATAGTAATTCTGATAGGTGAAGAGTGAAATCTCATTGTGATTTTGATTTGCATTTCCTTGATTGCTAGTGATGTTGAGCAGATTTTCATATAATTTCTAGCCAGTTGTATTTCTTCTTCTTCTTCTTTTTTTTTTTTTTTTTTTGACAGGCAGAGTTAGACAGTGAGACAGAGACAAAGGTCTTCCTTCTGTTGGTTCACCCCCCAAATGGCCACAATGGCTGGCGCTGAGCCCATCCAAAGCCAGGAGCCAGGTGCTTCCTCCTGGTCTCCCATGCAGGTGCATGGCCCAAGCACTTGGGCCATCCTTCACTACCCTCCTGGGCCACAGCAGAGAGCTGGCCTGGAAGAGGAGCGACAGGGAACAGAATCCAGCGCCCCAATCAGGACTAGAACCCAGGGTGCCAGTGCTGCAGGCAGATAATTAGACAAGTGAGCCACGGTGCCGGCCGGTATTTCTTCTTTTGAGAACTGTCTGTTGCAGTCCTTTACCCATTTCTTAACTGTATTGGTTGTTTTTTTATTGAGTTTTTTTCAGTAGTTGTTGATATATTCTGGATATGAATCCGTTGTCAGATATGTAGCTTGTAATTTTTTTATTCTTTCAACTAGACTCATTCTATTGATTGTTACCTTTGCTGTGCAACAGCGTCTGAGTTTGATATAATCCCATTTATCTAGATTTTCTTTTATTTCCTAAGTTTTGTGGGTCTTATCCAAGAAGTCATCACCTACACCAATGTCATAAAACATTTCCCTTGCATTCTCTTCAAGCATCTTCACATTTTCAAGTCTTAAATTTAGCTCTTTGATTCATCTTGAGTTGGTTTTTGTATATTGTGAGGAGTAGGGATCTAATTTCATTTTTCTGCATATATACATCCAGTTTGCCAGAACAATTTATTGTAGAGATTATCGTTTCTCCATTATAAGCTCTGGGCAATTTTGTCAAAAATCATTTGGCTGTATTTATGTGGATTAATTTCTGGGCAATCTATTCCATTCCATTGATATATGAGTGGTTTTTCTGCCAGCCCCATGATATTTTAATTGCCGTGGTTTTACAATAGGCTTTGAAGGCAGATATTGTGATGCCTCCAGCTTGATTTCTTTTGCTCTAGATTGCTTTAGCTTTTCTGGATTTTTTGTAATTATGTATGTATTGTAGAATTGTGTTTCTAGTTCTGTAAAGAATGTCATTGATATTTTGATAGAGATGGAATTGACTCTCTATATTGCTTTAGGTAGTATAGACATGTTAATTATTTTAACACTTCCAATTCATAAGCAAGGAATATCTCTCCATATTTTGTGTCATTGGTGATTTCTTCCATCAGTTTTATAACTTTCATTATAGAGATATTACATTTTTGGTTGAGTTTATTCCTGAATACTTGATTTTTTTTTTTTTTTGAAAGGCAGAGTGGACAGTGAGAGAGAGAGATAGAGAGAAAGGTCTTCCTTTTCCGTTGTTTTACCCCTCAATGGCCACTGTGGCTGGCGCACTGCGGCCAGCGCACTGCGCTGATCTGAAGGCAGGAGCCAGGTGCTTCTCCTGGTCTCCCATGGGGTGCAGGGCCCAAGCATTTGGACCATGCTCAACTGCACTCCTGGGCCACAGCAGAGAGCTGGACTGGAAGAGGAGCAACCGGGACAGAATCCGGCACCCCTACTGGGACTAGAACCCAGGGTGCTGGCGCCACAGGCGGAGGATTAGCCTAGTGAGCCACGGCGCCGGCCCTGAATATTTGATTTTTGGTGGCTATCATGAATAGGATTAAGTTTTAATTTCTGTTTGGTGAATTTATCATATAGAAAAGCTACTGGTTTTTTTTATATTCTGTTTATTTTGTAACTTTTAACTTTACTGAATTGGTTTATGAGTTTTTGTTGTTGTTGTTTTTCTTTTTGGTTTATGAATTCTAACAGCTTATTGCTGGAGTATTTAGATTTTTCCATGTACAATATCATGTCATCTACAAATTATATACTTTGACTTCCTCCTTTCTAGTTTAGATGCAATTTATTTATTTTTCCTTCCTAATTGCTCTTGCTAATACTTTCAATACTACATTGAATCAAAGTCATGAAAGTGGACTTTTTGTTCCAGATCTTAGGAGAAATGTGGAGGGTTTTGATCATGAAGGGGTGTTGAATCTTATCAAATGCTTTCTGCACATCTGTGAGATACTGTATTGTTTCTGTTTATTCTGTTGATGTGATTTGTTGCATTTACTGATTTGCAGATATTGTACCACTCTTACATCTCTGGAATATATATTGCTTGATGGTGATGTTTGTTCTTTCTGATGTGGTGTTGTATTGAGTAATCTGTTGAGAAATTTTGCATTATGTTCATTAAGGTTATAGATATGTAGCTTTCTTACTGTGTCTTTGTTTAGTTTTGGTGCCACGGTGATGCTGGCCTTGTAGCATGCGTTTGGCAGAGTTCCATCCTGTTCCTTATTTTGTAATATTTTGAAAAATATTGAAGTTAATTCCTCTTTAAATGTTTTATATAATTAAGTAGTAAAGTGACTAGGTCCTTTTTTTTTAAGATTTGGGACTTTTCCTTAATGGGAGACTAAATTACTCTTTAAATGTCATTGCTTCTTGTGATCTGCTTAGATTTTCTATATCTTCCTGATTTAATCTTTGTAGGTTTTATGCATCCAGATATTTAACAATTTCTTCTAGATTTTACAATTTATTAGCATATAGTTTTATTATAGTTTCTTATGATATTTTGTATTTCAGCAGTATTAGTTTTTAATGTCTCCCTTTTCATCTCTAATTATATTTATTTGTGCTTTTTTTCCTGTTTTCTTTGTTAATCTAGCTAAAGGCTTGTCTATTTTGTTTATCTTCGCAAAAAAAAATCTTTTGTCTCCTTGATCTTTTCTACTTTCTTAGTTTCTATTTCATTTGTTTCTGATCTTTTTTATTTCTTGCCTCCAACTGATTTGCAATTTGGCCAAGCCACCATCCGGAGCCAAGAACTTCATATGTATCTCCTGCCTGTGTGGCAGGGGCCCAAGCACTGGGAGCATTTTCTGCTGATCTCCCAGGCTATTATCAGGGAGGTGGATTAGTAATGGAGCAGCCAGGACTTGGATTGGCACCCATGGGTGATGCCAGCATTGCAGGCAGTAAGTTAACCTGCTATACCTTGATGGCCCTTAAACCTATTTGTTCAATTTAAGCATTCAAGTCTATAAACTCCCCTCTTAAAACTACTTTTGCACCGGTGCCGCGGCTCACTAGGCTAATCCTCCGCCTTGCGGCGCCGGCACACTAGGTTCTAGTCCTGGTTGGGGTGCCGGATTCTGTCCCGGTTGCCCCTCTTCCAGGCCAGCTCTCTGCTGTGGCCAGGGAGTGCAGTGGAGGATGGCCCAAGTACTTGGGCCCTGCACCCCACGGAGACCAGGATAAGTACCTGGCTCCTGCCATCGGATCAGCGCGGTGCACCGGCTGCGGCGGCCATTGGAGGGTGAACCAACGGCAAAGGAAGACCTTTCTCTCTGTCTCTCTCTCTCACTGTCCACTCTGCCTGTCAAAAATAAATAAATAGATAAATAAATAAACAAAAAACCCTACTTTTGCTATACCCAACATGCTCACACTGAGAACTTTATGTGGTTCATGCACCTGCATTGATGGGGGGTGGGGGTGGGTAGTAGCCACTGTGGGCTAATTCCAGGCATTTATCACCTTGGTAGAGAGGAGGTAAATCTGTGATTATGCCAGGAGAAGTGATAATACTACCTCCCATACTGAAAATAGAAAGAACTACCACGTGCAACCTGGGTTTCACCCTGGACCCTTGCACCACCCCCAAGCACTAACCAGAGCTCCCTGGACCCCCCAGAAACACCTCTGGGTATCTCCTGAATGGACAGACACTCTACTAAACTATAGAGGCATAGTTCAAAGATAAAAGACATTAGAGGAGAAAATCAACCAGTGGTTCCACAAATGCCTAAAAGTAAGCACAGAAATACAAAAGAAACAAGAACGAGGAATACAATATGACCTACCCAAAAAAACACAACAACACTTCAATATTAGAATGTGAAGACAAAGAGAATGATGACATATCTGAGAATGAATTCAAAAAATGATCATAACTCAGAAACACAGAGAAATAAATTCAGGAGATAGAAATTCATGCCTGATATGGATGAAAAGTTTTCTGAGAGATAGAGATGTTGAATAGAAATCAAACTGACTTTCAGCTACAACCTCCCCTATCAATGCAGGTGCATGAAGCATATATGGTTCTCAGTGTAAGCATGGACCACTCTGCAGTGACCCACTTCAGGCAATCAGAGAGCCTGCGCCTTTGGTGCCAGATTCAGAAATTCAGACCCAGAGATTCAGTTGTACCTCAAGCTCTATTATGCAGTCACAGAATTCCCAATGTTGCCGTATACAAGGCTCTCACAATCAAGGGTACAGCGGATTCGCTCTCAGCTCCAGTAGCCTACTGTTTCCATGGAGAGAGCACAGGCAGTCCCAGATCCAGATGCCTGTGGATGCTCCACCTTGACTGACTGCACTCAGGAGCCTGTGATAGGGTGGGGAGATGGGAGCATCTCACAGACCTAAGTGAGTGCCCAGCACCCTGCTAACCCTCTAGGCCAGACTCAAAGTCAATGGGGAATGCAGATTTATCCCTCTGATAAAATTCCCTAGTTGCATGTCCAAGAGCTGCTTCAACCTCTACCAGCTTTACTATGTTGCTTTCTTCTTGCAGGTCACCAAGGCCCTTACAGGGAAATGAGAGAAAGATACATGGTTTTCTTCCTGGTTTTAGGTGGGTCTCCTCCAACACCAGGGCTCCAGGCCTGACTTAAAGTCAGTCTAGTCCACAAGGTTCTACCTCAGGCAGTATTACCCGTGACAATGGCTGAGGCAGTCTGCTCTCACCTCGTTCCCGGAAGCTGGCATCTCCTCCAGCCTTGGCTGAGTCGGGGATGATGTTGCTGTTCACTGCTGCAGGTGTGTACTGTCCACGCTGCTCCACAGAGTCTCTCTTCTTTCTGTAGAATTTCCACTGCAAATTTCTCTCCAACTGTCCACTGGGAATGCACTTCCTTTGCTTTTCTTCTATTATCTTCTCCTGAGTTACATTCCTGACTCCAAGACCTGTATCCTGTTTTCCATCAATGCAGATCCTGAGAGGCAACAGTGATGGCTCAAGTAATTGGATTCACATCTGAGTAAAGAACTTGATCTGTAAACTGCTGCTATATGATAGTGTGGGGGGTGGATATGGCAATTTTGATATTTACCATCTGTAGGCAGTCTTGAGGCAGAATTTCTTCCTTTTCATTATTTAAATCAGAGATTATAGGTTGAACTCATTTTTCTTTAAATAGAAATAATAAAAGAAAAAATAGGCTAAATTTTCCATCAGAAAACAGACAGTTGTAGGTAAATCCTTATGTCATCTGTCAATGAAGACATTTCTATATTTCTTTTTGGTTTCTATGCCTCTTTTTTGTTTTCTTACATAATATACAGTGTAGGAACTCAGTTCAATATCGAAGAGCAGTGGTGAAAAGAAACATTCACTGTTAAATATTATATTATAAGTAGGGTTTCTGTTTAAGTTGAAAGATAATTGATAGTTTAAAACAATAATGAGAATAATGTATCTTAGAATTTGATATGATAAATTTAGCACATGAACTGAATAAGGGCATTGCAATCCACACTTATAAGTATATTACATTATATATGAAGTAGCATTGTATTATTTGAAGAGAGATTGTTAAAGTTAAATATATAGTTTAAAACCTTATGAAAAGAGAAATTTCTTATCTAAAGATAAGCGACTCTAAAATCTCATAAGATGATATATATACATACCCAAATATAAGAATAAATCATTTAATGAAAATGGCCTAAGCACTCAAGATAGAAGATAAAAATTATTAGACTGTATTGAAAAATCCATATTAGCTGAAGCAATTCTCTTAAATATGAAGACAAAGAAAAAAGTAAAAGAGTAGAAAAAGATATATCATGCAAGTACTGAGCACACGGAACTTGGAAGAGCTGTATTAATACTAGAAATAGCAAATTTTGGAACAAGAAATATTAACAAGGAAAAAGAGAGTCATTTTGTTATGATGAAGGGATAGACTTGCCAAAGCTGAATACAATCTTAAATGTTTATATGCCTAATTACAGAGCTTAGATTCAAAAATGCAAAGTGCATTAGGCAGCTTTTTGTTTCTTTAACTAAATTTCCCAAGAAAAACTGTTTCAGTAAGAAGTTGATTTCAGCTTAGCTTTGGAGGTTCATTGTCCAAGACTGGAAATCCACATTAGTCCTGTGTCTTGTATGAGAAGGGCAATAAATGGGGGAATGTACACAGAAAGAGGATTACATAGGGAGCCAGGAAGCAGAGAGAAGCTAAGTCAAACTAAGCTTTTACTACCAATTCTCCTCTGAGAACTACATTCAAAGAGCACAACCCCCATGCTCAGGGACCTCCCACCATGGTTACCTCCCAGTCACCATAAATTTAATCAAATCACCACCCATAATCCATTAAGTATTAACATAAGACTAGGGATATAAACATCTGTGTGAATTGAAGAACCATATCCTATTCAAACCATAGCACAATAGTTTATAGAACACAAAGGAGAAATAAACAAATCAACAATTATAGTTTTAGTATGATCCAAAAAACTTACTTACCCATGCTCCCTTCCTCCCTTCTCCTCCTTTAATTAGTCATTCTTTTAATTTTTACAATGACGTATTTTCAGCTTAATTTATAATCATAAGATGAATCCTCCAGGGGGCTGGCACTGTGGCTCATTTGGTTAATCCTCTGCCTGTGGCGCCGACATCCTATATGGGTGCCAGGTTCTAGTCCCAGCTGCTCCTCTTCCAGTCCAGCTCTCTGCTGTGGCCTGGGAAGGCAGTGGAGGATGGCTTAAGGGCTTAGGCCCCTGCACCCACATGGGAGACGAGGGGGAGGTACCTGGCTCCTGGCTTCAGATCAGCATAGCTCTGGCTGTAGCAGCCATTTAGGGGGTGAACCAATGGAAGGAAGACCTTTCTGTCTCTCTCTCTCTTATTGTCTAACTCTATCTGTCAAATAAATTTAAAAAATTAAAAAAAAGATGAATCCTCCATTAAGTAAATAATTTTATAAATAGCAAGAAGAAAAAAGTACTGTCCTCAACAGTACAGACAATGGCTGTAAAGAATAATCAATTCTCAAAATGTAAATTTAACTCATATATATTACATTTTTTATACTCCATTAGTCATAGTAGATCAGGGAAATATATGATATTTGTCTTTTTGGGACTGGCTTATTTCACTAAGTGTATTATTTTCCATCTGCATCATTTTGTTGCAAAAGATGGTATTTCATTTTTTATGACTGAGTAATATTGCATAGTGTATATATATCACATATTCTTCATCCAGTCATTTGTTGATAGACATCTGAGTTTATTCCATGTCTTAGCTATTGTGAATTGAGCTGCAATAAACATACAGGTAGAGATAACCCTTTCATATGATGATTTATTTCATTTGGGTAAATTCCCAGGATTGGGATGGCTGGGTCATATGGTGGATCTAGTATCAGATTTCTGAAGAATCTCCATACTGTCTTCCAAATGGTTGTACTATGTTGGGAACCACCACATCGCCTGAATTCTGCTGAAGGCATCCTTGGCCAGATTGTAAAAGTGATCAATTGCAAAGATCATTTGACATGATGCTAAAGCAACTAAGAAAATGCTGTGGGCTCCAGTAAACAGCAAGTAGGATGCTCATCCCAGTTAACAATTAGTCCCCACAGACCCCTTCATATTGTGATTGCTATTTAATCCCAGTTTCCAAGCAAACAAGTCCTTCCTGAAACACCAAAACTTCCCATTGTTCTCTGTTTCACTATGTTTAAACTACTTCATCATGAAATACTGTTTCCACAAAACCGCACATTTTTTATGGTTAATTGATCATGTCATCACTGATAATAAATACTTGGAATAACCAGACATCTGGGCCTCTGCTTCTGCCTCAACCTTGGCAGTAGACAGAGTATCTCTTGGTTTCCCCACATCAAAATCTTTAATCTGAGTTTTCTTCCTTAATCTATGTGATGCTCTTTCTCTTTTGGGTTGATCTGACACCCTGCCATGCTGGACGCATCAATACTAGTTTACATTCCCATCAACAGTGTATTAGGGTACCATTTTCCAAACATCCTCATCAGCATTTACTATTTTTTGAATTCTGTATGAGAACCATTCTAACTGTGGTAAGGTGAAACCTCATTGCAATTTTTATTTGCAGTTCCCTGATGGCTAATGATCCTGAGTATTTTTTTCATGGTTCTGTTGGCTATTTGAATTTTCTCTTTTGAAAAATGTCTTTTCAACTCTTATGCCCATTTCTTAACTGGATTGTTTGTTTCATTTGTTGTTGAGTTTCCTGAGTGCTATATAGACTTTGGATATTAACCCTTTGTGAGTTGTATAGTTTGCAAATATTTTTTGCCATTCTGTCCATTACCCCTTCACTTAGTTTAGTGTTTCCTTTGCAGTACAGACACTTCTTAGCTTGATATAATCTCATTTGACTGCTTTTGCTTTAATTACCTGTGCTTCTGGAGTCCTTACCAAGAAGTCTTTGCCTATGCCAATGTTGCAAAGTTTACCCTGTTTCCTCTAGTAATTTGATGGTATTGGGTCACAGATTCAGATCCTTGATCCATTGTGATTTGACTTATGGATAAGGTGTAAAGTAGGGGTCTTGTTTCATACTTCTGTATGTGGAGATCCAATTTCCCAGCACCATTTTTTTTAAAGATTTTATTTATTTATTTAACCAGTAGAGTTACAGACAGTGAGAGAGAGAGACAGAGAGAAAGGTCTTCCTTCCGTTGGTTCACTCTTCAAATGGCTGCAACAGCTGGAGCTGTACTGATCCAAAGCCAGGAGCCAGGTGCTTCTTTCTGGTCTCCCAAGTGGGTGCAGGGGCCCAAGCACTTGGCCATATTATACTGTTATCCCAGGCCACAGCAGAGAGCTGGACTGGAAGAGAAGCAACTGGGCATAGTACCAGCCCCCATATGGGATGCTGCAGCCGGAGGATTAACTAAGTGCGCCACAACACCAGCCCCTCCCAGCACCATTTGTTGAAGAGAATGTCCATCCTTCAGGGATTGATTTTAGCTCTTTTGTCAAATATGAGTTGGTTGTAGTTGCACAGATTGATTCCTGGGGATTGTATTCTGTTCCATTGGTCTATATGCCCATTTTTGTGCCTGTACCAGGCTGTTTTGATTTTAACTGCCCGTAATATGTCTTGAAATCTGGTATTGTGATGACTCCAGGTTTATTTTTGCTGTTTAAGATTGTTTTAGTTATTAAGGGTTTATTTTATTTTATTTTTTTTATTTTTTGACAGGCAGAGTGGATAGTGAGAGAGAGAGACAGAGAAAAAGGTCTTCCTTTGCCGTTGGTTCACCCCTCAAACGGCGCACCACACTGATCCGAAGCCAGGATCCAGGTGCTTCTCCTGGTCTCCCATGGGGGTGCAGGGCCCAAGCACTTGGGCCATCCTCCACTGCACTCCCGGGCCACAGCAGAGAGCTGGCCACCCCGACCGGGACTAGAACTCAGTGTGCCGGCGCCGCAGGTGGAGGATTAACCTATTGAGCCACAGTGCCAGCCTCTTTTATTTCTGTTTGAATTTTAGCGTAGTTTTTTTTCTAGATTTGAGAAGAATGTTTTTGGTATTTTGATTGAGATTGCATTGAATCTGTAAATTTCTTCTGCTAGTGTGAACATTCTGATGATATTTATTCTTCCAATCCATGAACATGGAAGATTTTTCCATTTTTTTTGTGCCTTCCTCTCTTTCTTTAATGTTTTGTGATTTTCATTGTAGAGAAACTTCACATCTTTTGTTAGATTTATTCCAAGGTATTTAATTTTTTGTAGCTACTATGAATGGGACTGAGTTCAGAAATTCTTTCTCAGTTATGGCATTGTCTGTGTATACAAAGGATATTGATTTTGTGTGCTGATATTACATCCTGCAACTTTACTAAACTCTCTTATGCATTCCAATAGCCTCTTAATGGAGTCCTTCAGATCACATATATATAGAATCATATCTTCTGAAAATAGG